GGATAACAAGTCAGTTTAACCACTTGCTAACTTGCTATTGCTGAATGACAGCTACAGCGCAGTTCTGAGAGGGTGTCATTATGACGTCCTCCAGAACACGCCCTCCCGGGGGCCCGCACCCAGCGATCTCCATGATCACTGTGTCCTAGCAGTGCCGCCCACACACCAGTGCCCAATCATTGTTGCATATCAGTGCAGTCCCCATCTGTGCCGCCCCCAACAGTCCCCCATCTGTGCCGTCCCATCAGTCCCCATCTGTGCCCGCCATCAGTCCCCCATCTGTGCCGCCATCAGTCGTCCCCATCTGTGCCGCCCATCAGTCCCCCATCTGTGCCGCCCATCAGTCCCCCATCTGTGCCGCCCATCAGTCCCCCATCTGTGCCGCCCATCAGTCCCCCATTCTGTGCCCCCCGCCCATCAGTCCCCCATCTGTGCCGCCCATCAGTCCCCCATCTGTGCCGCCCATCAGTCCCCCATCTGTGCCGCACCATCAGTCCCCCATCTGTGCCCCGCCCATCAGTCCCCCATCTGTGCCGCCCATCAGTCCCCATAAGTGCAGCTTCATCAACACATCAGTGAAGGAGAAAAACCACCTGTTTCAAAAATTTTATAATAAAAAACCAAAAAAAATTTTTTTTTTTCAAATGTTTTGCTCTTTTTTTGTTTATAGCGCAAAAAAAAAAACAAAACACCCAGCGGGTCCAGTGTTGCATGACAGAGCAATTGTCATTCAAAGTACTGAACGCTTGAACATCGGCCTGGGCACGAAGGGGGTATAAATGCTTGGCAGGCAAGGGGTTAATTCGCTTTCCGGCTTTTGTCGCTCTCTGCACCTCACTTTCAGGGACAGGTCGGACTCACCCAATATCCGTTTTCTGTACTGGCTTCCAGGACAAGGTCACTGTGCTTTTGTAGGATGGAGGATTATGGAACACAAATCCTGAAATACAAACCAAACACCATTTGTGTAACAAGCCCAAACTAAATACAAAAAACAAATAAAAATTAAAAAATAAATAACAATTACAAAAATATAAACAAAAAAATAATAAAAAAAAATAATAATTAATAACAAATAAATAAAAAAAAAAAACTCTTAAAAAACAATTTATAAAAATACAAACAACATAACACACACAAATAAAACAAAAAAAAAAAAAAACATAATATAAAAAATACATAAAAAAATACAAAACAAACAAAAAATAAAAAAACAAAAAAACAAAAACATTTATAAAAAACAAACAAAAAAAACATAAATAAACAAAATACAAAAAAATAAACAAATATACAAATAAATACAAAAAAAAAATACTTAATACATAAAAATTTAAAAAAATACATACATAATACAAATATAAATAAAAACAAAAACAAAAACATAATATACATAAAAACCAAAAAAATACCACTACACAATATAAACCAAAATATACATACATACAAAATAATAAAAAAAAACACATAATATAAAACACAAACAATATAAACATAATACAAATACAATAAAAATAAACATATATACATACATACATACACATATATAAAATATTAGTGTGAGCAGGCAGGCAGAAGAGGCATGCAATGTCTCTTCTGCAATAGAATACACCTACCTGCCCACTCGCTGTCTTCTCCGACCTGTAAACTAGGCTGCGCATGCACAGCTTACATCGCCGGCACAGTCCCTGTGTGCTGGTAAGACCGACTCCTGCAGAGAAAGTTTGTCATCCCAAGCTAGCCCATGAAGACAAAGACCAGCACCCAGCAGAAGAAAAGATAGCTCTGCCTTACCACACAAAGAAAACTAGTCAATGCGCTGCTCAAAAGAGCCCCTGTGGACTTATTTATTTCTTATATATAGCGCCATCAATGTACTCCGCACTTTACATATATATTGTACATTCACATCAGTCCCTAACCTCAAGGGGCGTACAATCTAAGGTCCCTAACTCACATTCATACATACACATACTAGGGACAATTTAGACAGGATCCAATTAACCTACCAGCATGTCTTTGAAGTGTGGGAGGAAACCGGGAGTACCCGGAGGAAACCCATGCAGGCACAGGGAGAACATGCAAAACTCCAGGCAGGAGGTGCCGTGGTTGGGATTCGAACCAACGACCCGAGTACTGCCAGGCTGGGAAGTGCTAACCATTTAGCCACTGTGCTGCTTGCTGGTAATAGTAGTTCGCTAGCTCTGCTTTAAGCTGTGCAATCTGCTGATCGGCTGCTTGGTTACACGCAATTACAACATACATGAACATGTATCAGACATACACTGGCCGGAGACGCACACATTGAACTGCATGCACACAGTGAAGGGCGAAGGTTGTATTTGCACAGACGTATGTTTTATAATAACATCGTATCCCCAGCACCACATGTACAGCCACTTACCTTGATTAAAACATTTATATTGCTGGTTATTTTCAAGGCTACCACTTTGATTTTGTTCTGTAGGAAAAGAAAAATCTTCTATTACTTTGTGTTAGTGATGACTGCAGTACTGCTACCAGCAAAACAAATGAACAATCTAAAGTGACGCAATTACTTTTTTTTTTTAAACAGCTGAGCATTAACCACCTCCCGTCCGGCCATTGTATATTAACGGCCGGACGGTGGCAGTGCAGGGTCGGGTGGACGTTTATAAACGGCCTCCCCGCACCCTGCTTGTGCGCGCAGCACCGAGATCTAGTGCCCGCTGTGTCCTCCGGACACAGTGGAACACCGATCGTCGGACGGGACCTCTGTGCGAGGTCCCAATCAAGTGATCACTGATTGGCCAATCAGTGATCACATGCAAAAGTAGAAAGCAAGATGTCACTTGTGACATCATTGCTTACTATGTGTGAAATCTGTGAATGATCACAGAGGTCACATGGTACAGGGCTATTCACAACAGCCTTGTACCATGTGACAAGCTGTGACCAATCACAGCTCACACAGTAGTTCTCAATGGCAAGAATGCAGCCGAGAGAGAAGGAGAAATGATTGCTTTTACAGCTTTATGGCTGTAAATGCAATCAGTGTAAGGAAAAAAAAAAAAAAAAAATCTTCATCACCCCCCACAATTAGTACAGTGTCACCATGGTGACACGGTACTGCTAGGAATTCTGAAGGACCCTCTGTACAGTGGTATATACCCTTTCAAGTGCAGAGGGTCCTTCAGAATTTCTAGTGTTGATATGTGGTTACACCCCTTTAGCACCTGATGGTTTAAATGCATGCACTAGCTGTTGGGATTTGAGCACAGGGATCTCTTGTTTGTTTTAGGGTACTGCTAGGGTGACAGTATGTAAAAATAAATAATACATAAATAATATAAAAAAAAAAAAAAAAAAAGTTTTAAAAATTATAATTTTTGGTTATAAACTAATTTGTTTGGGGTGTTTTTTTTTTTTTTTTTTTACTAAAAAAGATAACTGAATACATTTTGGCCAAGATTTATGATGAAATACTATTTATTTGCAAAATTTTCTAAGGAAAACATTTTTCAAAATTTTTGGACTTTCATTTATATAGCAAAAAAAAAAAAAAATCCCAGTGTGTGAATAAATACCACCAAAATAAAGCTTTATCTGTCTCAAAAAAATTTATCCTGGGTACAGTGTTGCGATGACCGCACAATTGTCTCAAAGTGTGATAGTGCTGAAAGCTGAAAATTGGCACTGGACAGGAAGGGGGGGGGAAAAGTGTCCGGACAGGAAGGGGGGGAAAGTGTCCGGACAGGAAGGGGGGGAAAGTGTCCGGACAGGAAGGGGGGGAAAGTGTCCGGACTGGAAGGGGGGGAAAGTGTCTGGACTGGAAGGGGGGGGGGGGGGGGGAAGTGTCCGGACTGGAAGGGGGGGGGGGGGGGGGAAAGTGTCCGGACTGGAAGGGGGGGGGGGGGGGGGGAAAGTGTCCGGACTGGAAGGGGGGGGGGAAAGTGTCCGGACTGGAAGGGGGGGAAAGTGTCCGGACTGGAAGGGGGGGGAAAGTGTCCGGACTGGAAGGGGGGGAAGGATCCTTTTGAAAGTGTCCGGACTGGAAGGGGGGGAAAGTGTCCGGACTGGAAGGGGGGGGAAAGTGTCCGGACTGGAAGGGGGGGAAAGTGTCCGGACTGGAAGGGGGGGAAAGTGTCCGGACTGGAAGGGGGGGAAAGTGTCCGGACTGGAAGGGGGGGGGGAAAGTGTCCGGACTGGAAGGGGGGGAAAGTGTCCGGACTGGAAGGGGGGGGAAAGTGTCCGGACTGGAAGGGGGGGAAAGTGTCCGGACTGGAAGAGGGGGGGGAAAGTGTCCGGACTGGAAGGGGGGGGAAAGTGTCCGGACTGGAAGGGGGGGAAAGTGTCCGGACTGGAAGGGGGGGAAAGTGTCCGGACTGGAAGGGGGGGGGGGAAAGTGTCCGGACTGGAAGGGGGGGAAAGTGTACGGACTGGAAGGGGGGGAAAGTGTCCGGACTGGAAGGGGGGGAAAGTGTCCGGACTGGAAGGGGGGGAAAAGTGTCCGGACTGGAAGGGGGGGAAAGTGTCCGGACTGGAAGGGGGGGAAAGTGTCCGGACTGGAAGGGGGGGAAAGTGTCCGGACTGGAAGGGGGGGAAAGTGTCCGGACTGGAAGGGGGGGGAAAGTGTCCGGACTGGAAGGGGGGGAAAGTGTCCGGACTGGAAGGGGGGGAAAGTGTCCGGACTGGAAGGGGGGGAAAGTGTCCGGACTGGAAGGGGGGGAAAGTGTCCGGACTGGAAGGGGGGGAAAAGTGTCCGGACTGGAAGGGGGGGGAAAGTGTCCGGACTGGAAGGGGGTGGGAAGTGTCCGGACTGGAAGGGGGGAAAGTGTCCGGACTGGAAGGGGGGGGGGAAAGTGTCGGACTGGAAGGGGGGAAAGTGTCCGGACTGGAAGGGGGGAAAGTGTCCGGACTGGAAGGGGGGAAAGTGTCCGGACTGGAAGTGGTTAAGAGACACTGTTTTAGTTGTGCTGCATCATTATGTGTATCATATACTGTTTGTGGGTTGATTTTTATATGTGACAGAAATGTCAGACTGGACCGGACTGAAGCGGGTTAATCCAGTGTTTACTGAGGAAATGAAACTTTATTCCTAAAAAAAGAAAATGGGTGCTGAAAATCAAGGTATCTACAATGGACAGCCAAACATCTGTACGTCCTACAATTATTTAAAAAAAAATGCAATAATCACCTCATCCGTTTTTAAGGCATCCCCAGATTTCCCTGCAAGGCCAGGCGAAGCTGTCTGATGTACACCTGTAATCCTCGGGCAAAGTACTGCAACCTACAGAACACAAAGAGAAGCAAACATTCAGTGATACACCATTAAACAGCTAGTTACTTTAACGCGGAGCTCCACCCAAAAGGGGAAGTTCCGCTTTAAGCCTTTGCCCCCGCTCCCCATTAAGGATCGGGTGAATACCTGAATGTGACAGGTACCCCCTCCCACTGCGATCGCCGATCGGAAGCGGAAGTTGTCCCTCCCCCCCTCTCTCTCCCTGTAGTCTTTTGGGACACGTGACAGATCCCAGAAGACTACAGGACCAATCACAAAGTGCAGCGCTTATCACGCATGCGCAGTCCGCCCCCTGCTGGAAGCCGCAAGCTGTCACAGCCGGGGGCCCACACTAAAGATGCCGACACCAGAGAGAGAAGACGGCCGGTGAAACCAGCGGTAGTGAGGACACCACTGAACCAAGGGACAGGTAAGTGCCTGAATTTTAAAAGTCAGCAGCTACAGTTTTTGTAGCCGCTGAGTTATTTTTTTTTTTTCAGCTGGAACTCCGCTTTAAACACCTCCACCGGGAAATGGGTGAAATTCTGCAACATAAAGAAAGAAAAGCGCACGGCCACCCTAGTGTAATCCAGTTTATTAAAACCAACCATTAACATCTGCACAGTATGCACTCACATGTTCCATGTAGAAAAAGGCATGTCTGTGTGTCCACCCCAACCACTCCCAATGGCCGCTGTACAATCCGGGCAGTATGGGTACCCTTCCTCCGTCGCCAGCTGACAACTATGAAGCCGCTGGAGCTAGTCAGCAGCATGGAGATGGTATTGCGCATGCGCCTGAACCTGACGGCGCAACGTTGCGTAGGCGACGGTCGTGCGGGTTGGCGAGAAACCTGAGGTGCAGTAGACAGACACAGACGTGTCGTGGTTGCCTAGATGACATATTTTGGAGGCGTGACCTCCTTTATCAAGTCACGCCCACGTTTGGATCCCATTATCCATACTGCCCGGATCGTACAGCGGCCATTGGGAGTGGTTGGGGTGGACACACACAGACATGCCTTTTTCTACATGGAACATGTGAGTGCGTATTGTGAAATGTTTATGGTTGGTTTTAATAAACTGGATCACACTAGGGTGGCCGTGCGCTCTTCTTTCTTTATGTTGCTACCAAAGCGAATAACTCTTTCACAACCCTGTTATCCCACCCCCTTCTCCATCACACTCACCCATCTGAACCACTTCCAGTCCGGACACTTTCACCCCCTTCCTGCCCAGGCCAATTTTCAGCTTTCAGCGCTATCACACTTTGAATGAAAATTGCGCGGTCATGCAACACTGTACCCATATGAATTTTTTTAGCATTTTTTTGAGACAGATAAAGCTTTATTTTGATATTTATTCACCGCTGGGATTTTTATTTATTTTGCTATTTAAATTAAAAAAAGTCCAAAAATTTTGAAAAAAAAAGGGTTTTTCTTACACAATTTTGCAAATAAATAATATTTCATCATAAATCTTGGCCAAATTTTATTCCGTTATCTTTTTTCGGAAAAAAAAAAAAATTACCCAAATTAGTTTATAACCAAAAATTATAATTTTTAAACTTTTTTTTTACATTTTTATTTTATTTTTTTATATTATTTATTCAAACCCACATGGAATGGTGCCCTTCTAATCAACTCCGCACAGTGTGATTTTATTTCATTTTTTTATATTGTTATTTATGTTTTTTTTTTTTTTTTTTTTTTTTTTTACATACTGTCACCCTAGCAGTACAGTGTCGCCATGGTGACACTGTACTACTTCTAATAAATATTTCATCATAAATCTTGGCCAAAATGTATTCAGTTCTCTTTTTAGTAAAAAAAAAAAAAAAAAAAAAACCCCAAATTAGTTTATAACCAAAAATTATAATTTTTAAACATGTTTTCCTTTTTTTTTTTTTTTTATATTATTATTTATGTATTTGTTTTTACATACTGTCACCCTAGCAGTACAGTGTCGCCATGGTGACACTGTACTACTGGGGGGGTGATGAAAAATTTTTTTTTTTTTTTTTTTTTTTTTTTACACTGATTGCTTTTACACCCATAAAGGCTGTAAAAGCAATCATTTCTCCTCTCTGGCTGCATTCTTGCAGCCATTGAGAACTACTGTGTGAGCTGTGACTGGTCACAGCTTGTCACATGGTACAAGGCTGTTGTGAATAGCCCTGTACCATGTGATCTCTGTGATCATTCACAGATTTCACACGTAGCAAGCAATGATGTCAGAAGTGACATCTTGCTTACTACTCTGCATGTGATCACTGATTGGCTAATAAGTGATCACATGATCGGGACCTCGCGCAGAGGTCCCGTACGACGATCGGGTGTTCCACTGTGTCCGGAGGACACAGCGGGCAAAGGATCGCGGTTGCTGAGCGCTCCCAAGCAGGAGGCCATTTATAAACGGCCACCCGACCCTGCACTGCCACCGTCCAGCCGTTTATATACAATGGCCGGACGGGAGGTGGTTAAAGAAAAAAGTTCCTCTTTTTAAAACACAGCGCTAGTACTTTTTTTTGTGGTTATATTTGGCAGTTATAATATTCACCTTATTTTGAAGTCTTTAAGCTTCTCAGCATTCACTTTCCCGGTTAGAAAATCTGGATTCTTGCGCCCAAGTTGGTGGAAACTGAATAGTAAACATTCGACGTAGCTGAACTGAAGTTTTGGCTCCTCGTTAGACGAATTCTCCCCGTTTTCTACTTCCTCCGGAGGAAGCGGCATGTATTCCTAACAATGCAGAGGAGAATAATAAGAAATAGGCAGAGCCTGTAATCTGATGGGTGATACGGTTTCTCCATAAATACACCTGAAATCCTCAAAACCGAAACATGGCATCACAGCTAATGCAGGCCATAGATGGGTCGAAAAATCGGCCGATTTTTCGGCCGAAAATAAAATCAGCCGATTTTCGGATCGTTAGTGGGCTAAATGTTCGGCCGTTTTTCGGTGTCTTGGCAGATTTTTTTTATCGGTAAAGTTGGAAAAAAATCGGCCGATCTTTTACCGATAAAAAAATCTGCGCATGAGCCGTGACCTGCAAGAGGAAGACAAAAAGAAGAAAAAAAAAAAGAAGAAGAGGATGAAGAAGAACAAGAACAAGAAGAAGATGAAGAAGAAGAAGAAGAAGAGGATGAAAAAGAAGAAGAAGAAGAGGATGAAAAAGAAGAAGAAGAAGAGGAAGATGAAAAAGAAGAAGAAGAAGAGGAAGATGAAAAAGAAGAAGAAGAAGAAGAGGAAGATGAAAAGAAGAAGAGGAAGATGAAAAAGAAGAAGAGGAAGATGAAGAAGAAGATGAAGAAGAAGAGGAAGATGAAAAGAAGAAGAGGAAGATGAAAAAGAAGAAGAGGAAGATGAAGAAGAAGATGAAGAAGAAGAGGATGAAGAAATGGATGAAGAAGAGGAAGAAGAAGAGGAAGAAGAGGAGGAAGAAGAGGAAGACGAAGAGGATGAAGAAGAAGAGGAATTCCAGTCCGGCAAAAAGTGTCCCTGCAGAGAGCTCCGCTATTTCTTTGACAGTTCCTTGACATTTATAGCGGTTGCAACAATGTATTTGTTTCCGAATAAAAACATCTGTATCCTAAATGGATACAAATAGATACATTGTTGCAACCGCTATAAATTTCAAGGAACTGTCAAAGAAATGCTCTCTGCAGGGACACTTTTTGCCGGCTGTAGACGGAATGAAAATCGGCCGATTTTTTTTTTACCGTTGCTGGTAACGTCGGCCGCTTGAACGACCGATTTTTCGTTTTTTTAAAAGAAAAATCGGCCGATTTTCGACCCGTCTATGGCCTGCATTACACAGAAGATTTACACTCAATGGCCACTTGATTAAGTACATCTGTTCAACTGCTTAGTAACACAAATTGCTAATCAGCCAATCACATGGCAGCAACTCAACTTTTTCTGCGTGGAAGTAAATGCTACATGAATCATCTGCCCTTACTCAAGATGGCCACAGCCAGAAATGCTAGGGGGGCAATGTACTACTTATGGGGGGGTGATGAAGATTTTTTCTTTTTACATATTGCTTTTACACCCATATAGGATGTAAAAGCAACCATTTCTCTTTCTCTCTGTCTGCATTCTTGCACTCATTGAGAAGTACTGAGTGAGCTGTGATTGGTCACAGCTTGTCACATGGTACACGGCTGTTGTGAATAGCCCTGTACCATGTGACCTCTGTGATCATTCACAGATTTCACACGTAGTAAGCAATGATGTCACAAGTGACATCTTGCTTACTACTTTGCATGTGATCACTGATTGGCCAATCAGTGATCACATGATCGGGACCTCGTACAGAGGTCTCATCTGACGATCGGTGTTTCACTGTGTCCGGAGGACACAGCGGGCACCGGATCGCGGTGCTGCGCGCTCCGAGGGAGCACGCACAAGCAGGGTGCGGGGAGAGGCCGTTTATAAACGGCCACCCGACCCTGCACTGCCACCGTCCGGCCGTTTATATGCAACGGCCGGTCGGGAAGTGGTTAAAGTCCCCTATTTGTGGGAAGCCACTCCCCTTTATGTTGGCCAATGTGCCATCTCACTTACCAAAAGCTTCTCAAAGAGTTTGTTTAAATTTGATTCAAGTTTGTCCATATCTCCGCAGAATGAGCTCATCTCAGCCAGAAGCTTCAACACCTGAAAAAACATTATTATTTCAACGTTTTACCACTAAAACCTGTATTTTTTACATCTCAGCCAATTCATAAAATGTGGACAGAAAAAACAGGATATAAAAGGTGCCAGAGACACCAGGTTTCAGCAACAGAGGCAGTGCTGTCAATCCGGAAACAGTGAGTAGGACTAGATGTAGTCAGGTGATGATTGACAAGCTACAGGCCTGTGAGTCAGCAGTGACAAAGCTGATGGCCACACCCCCTACAGCATCTTCTCCTCCCACTGTAGTGGCAACTATGCTCTGAATTCAAGAGCAGTGCAGCAGCGTTGCCACACAAATCACAAAGAAAATGCATTAGGTGGACTTCAATGGCAGGATCAACAAGTTTTTGTGGGACTTTGCAGTGGGTGTCGAAAACAAAGTGATATTAAAACTTCAATTTTTTAACCCCTTGGCGCCAGCGCCTCCCGGCCCTTTAAGGGTTTCAGAAGCCAGGAGGCGGGGCAGGGTTTTAAGGTCATGTGACCACCGTGATTCGCCGTCACGGTGGTCACATGATCGGGAAAGGTCCTGATCGAAAGAGGAGATCGGGACCTTTCTGTGAGTACCGGACGTGTGCTGGGAGTGCGCTCTCAGCACATATGTTTTTCTTAATTGCACACAGATGTGCGGGCCGCTCGGCGTCTAGGCCCAGACGCCGGGAGGCCGCACATTTCATTTGTGTGCGGCTGCCGTGAAGAACACGTTATACTGTACATACCTGCTCTGTGTAACAGTATTGCACAGAGCAGCCCCGATCCACCCCTTTGCGGGTTCCCTGCTGGTGCTCCTAGCTCCACTTCTTCAGTGAGGCTTATGGAGGCACTCGTGCAGGGTTGCTTACGAGCCACCCCGTCTGCATCTACAGACAGGGCGGCTCAGCCCCGCCCCCCCAGTCACAGAATTTTAATTGACAGCAACAGAAGCCAATAGCTTCCACTGCTATCAATCTGCCCATTGAGAAGGAACAGAGCCGGCAGAGCCTTTGCAACCGCTTGAAAGGCAGATGCACTTACAAAAAGCTGAATGCTAGCCTTCCCTTCAGGCTTACACAGTACAGACTCATTCCTTGTACTGAACTTGCTTACTCTGTTTTAACTGCACACTGATCTACTCATAGTGTGCATTAAAAGCTGAACAGCAAGATAGAGCATGACTCATTTCCAAGCTGGAGGACGTCCAGCATCATCTACCTCTTTCTTCTCCAGCCTTACTGTCCCTTGCATCACATGCAGGTGATACCACAGCTTCCCGTTTTTAGAAAGCTATGTACAGTCCTTTGTAGACTCCTTCCTCCAGCCATGATCTTCCTGCATTGCATGGAGAAGCAAAGAATTCTAGTGATGACATCACTAGGTGTAAAATAAGGCATGTAATAAACATGGAAAGTGTGACGGGAGTGACTTTGGGGGGTGGGGAGACCCCTGTCTCAGCCCCCCAAATCCCTATTATGTGTAAGTCGCCCTGTGCCTGTTAGGGGTAGAGGGTGATCTGTCCTGCTATTGTGTGTCTTGCTTGACAGCAAACTATTATGGGATGTATGGGTTTGGGTATTGTCTACTGCCACCTGGTGTATCCCATTGTTCACTGCCATGCGGCTGCATCCCATTGTTCTAGCAAAACTATTATGGGTTGTGATGTTTCCGGCAGCCCTTCCCCCTGATGGGATGGCCTGCTGATGTGTTTCCAGTCTGGGTGTGTATTTCCCCACCCTGTGTATATATCTTGTATCTGTGTTAAAATAAAGCAGTCAATTTCCTGTCTTTCATACAAGCCTGGTGCTGTCTATTCCTGTGTGGTCAGCGGTGGTGTCCGTGGTCGGTGTTCGAACAGGGAAGCGGGAGTTTAACGGAAATACCCTAGTGCGGTCTGGGTCCGGTTCCGTTACAGAAAGTTTTTTTTTTAATAATTTCCTTAGCATGTGAAAAGGAGGGAAGGAGGAACCAGCAAAGGCAAAATTAGGTAATAATAATTGGATGGCCATTTATTTTTTCACAGATTATAGAGTTTCGAATTTATCATTTGCTAGGAACCGGGTAGCAACAGCCTCTTATAGGAGTTGCCTTGCAATGTATTGTACCCACTCGCAGGGCCAATTTGGTCTTCCACTCTGTTTGGATCAAGGGAGAAAAAATACTATAATAGCAAAATGAAACCCACTCCAACAAGGACCTCATCTAGAAACTGAATGCAGTGATCATGCTGTGACTGAAGCTCAGGACCTCAGTGCAGCAAGATCATAGAGTGACTTCAGATACCAAAAGGACACACTTACTTCCAACTGGACATCGATGCCCTCTGCTGGGCTGGTCAGGGAACTCAGAATGGGAAGCACTTGCTCACAAAAGTAGGTCACAAATTTAGTAGAGTGAACATTTTTCTAGAAAGAGGGAAAAAAAAAAAGACATTAATGTTTAAAGTCATCACAGTGCTTTATTCTGTTCCCCTCTAGACAAACTAAATACTTACAGAAAAAAGTGGCACAGCTTGCCGCATACACTGCAGGAGGCGATCCACAGAGTCGGGGTCGGCGGGGTTGAGGGTCTGATAGAGACCCGCCTGCTCAGATACTAGATCTACCAGCTGCTGTCGGCCGCTAACTGTCTGTAATGTCTTTAGAGAGGACAGGATCTTCATAAACAGGACAAATTCCTCCCCGGTGACGTCATCCAGCACCTGCAAAATGCCAAAGGAATATTAAAAAAAGAACAAAAATAAAAAAAGGCAAAAGCTTCTCATTAGAACCCTTCCTAGAAGATGGAGGGACCACCACCAAACTCTTCTGCCCACTCAGACATCTGCATTGTGTTTAGTGTTTTCAAATTGTCCCTTGGATCCTGTCAGGTACCCGCTTCCACCTCCGCTAGAATCTTCTAGGCAATACCTGCTTTGTTGAAACTAGTTCAAAAGTTGCACAGCCACACTATTAAAGAAAATGCATGAATGATTATTCCTGCTCACAGGCGTGCTGCCAACAGGCATATTTGGATAAATGATCCATTTCTTCCACCTGCTCCTCGAGTATCTTTGTGTACAGCTCACCTTCTTGGATTCTGAAAAAATGTAGTCTTCCACCTCTTTAGTCATCACATCTTCAGGAACGGTTTTCAGTTTGTTAGAGAGGAACTTAATGGCTCTCTCACGTACAATGTCTTCACCTTGAAGAATCTGGCTGAATAATCCCCCGAGGGTGCCTGTATAAAACAAGATTTATTACCCACCAATTTATTATTATTTATTATCTTATGATCAGCTACTCAATCATTTCTAACATTTATTTATTTCAGATACTTATATAGCGCCATCAATGTATGCAGTGCTTTACATATATATTGTACATTCACATCAGTCCCTAACCCTCAAGGGGCGTACAATCTAAGGTCCCTAACTCACATTCATTCATACACATACTAGGGGCAATGTAGACAGGAGCCAATTAACCTACCAGCATGTCTTTGGAGTGTGGGAGGAAACCGGAGTACATGGAGGAAACCCACGCAGGCACAAGGAGAACATGCAAACTCCAGGCAGGAGGTGCCGTGGTTGGGATTTGAACCGACGACCCCAGAACTGCCAGGCAGAAGTGCTAACCACTTAGCCACTGTGCCGCCCCAATTGTTGCCTAAACCAGTGGTCTTCATACTGCGGCTCGAGGGCCAGATGTTGCGTCATTTTTATCTGGTCCTTGGGGCATTATTTCCTCACTATCAGCAACAGTGAGGCACTATTCCCCCCACTGACACCAATGATGGGGCACTAGTCCTCCCACTGACACCAATGATGGGGCACTAGTCCTCCCACTGACACCAATGATGGGGCACTAGTCCTCCCACTGACACCAATGATGGGGCACTATTCCTCCCACTGACACCAATGATGGGGCACTATTCCTCCCACTGACACCAATGATGGGGCACAATTCCTCCCACTGACACCATTGATGGGGCACTATTCCTCCTACTGACACCAATGATGGGGCACTATTCCTCCCACTGATACCAATGATGGGGCACTATTCCTCCCACTGACACCAATGATGGGGCACTATTCCTCCCACTGACACCAATGATGGGGCACTATTCCTCCCACTGACACCAATGATGGGGCACTATTCCTCCCACTGACACCATTGATGGGGCACTATTCCTCCTACTGACACCAATGATGGGGCACTATTCCTCCCACTGATACCAATGATGGGGCACTATTCCTTCCACTGATACCAATGATGGGGCACTATTCCTCCCACTGACACCAATGATGGGGCACTATTCCTCCCATTGACTTCTGCAGTGCATGGGGTAATGTAATCCTTCTGTCGACAAGATCTTTTTTGGGAGTAGCCCAAATCTTGCAAGATGATGTTGCAGCACAGTGCAGGATCATCATCTTGCCAGATTTGGGCTACTAGGCATTCTGGCATTTCGAGATCTGCCTGGAAGCAGAATGACATCTGCCCTTGCACTGCGAGAGGACGTTCGGAAAAGGTAATTATATTATTTAGTCTCCCCAACATGTAGTTTTACAGCATTTTTTTTGTATTACTCCCTCATGCAAAAAAAAAAAAAAAAAATTATGTGGTTTGAGATCAGCACTGCTTTTGCTATCTTCAGAGTCGTTGGGCTGCTTAGTACTGCACATAGGCCCCAATGTAGGAGTGTCAAACTGGTGGCCCTCCAGATGTTGTGAAACTACAAGTCCCATCATGCCTCTGCCTTTGGGAGTTATGTTTGTAACTGTCAATCTTGCAATGACTCATGGGACTTGCAGTTTGGCAACAGCTGGAGGTCCGCCAGTTTGACACCCATGTTCGAATGCATCAGCCATTCAAACCTACAGGAAGTCTGCGTGTTCAATACATTCTATACAGCAGTATTCCTCAACCTTTTTTTCTGTCAAGGCACCCTTTAAAATTCTGCATGATCCCGAGGTACCACATTCTAATATGGAAAAAAACCTAAAATAATAGCTTTACATATCGCAGCGGTATTCGCATACATAGGACACCCAACATTGAAGGTGATTTATTCTTCCAAAGTCTAGGGCTTCAAAAGCCATCATTAGTCCATGGTCCATGCGTGTCATTAGTCCATGGGTGTAATCTGTCCAAGCATGGGGAAGTCTAGGGCTTCAAAAGCCATCATTACTCCATGGTCCATGGGTGTCATCAGTCTCTATGGGTGTAATCTGGCCAAGCGTGGGGGTGTCTAGGGCTTAAAACGCCATCATTACTCCATGGTCCATGGGTGTAATCTGTCCAAGCGTGGGGGAGTATAGGGCTTCAAAAGCTATCATTCCATGGGTGTAATCTGTCCAAGCGTGGGGGAGTCTAGGGCTTTAAAAGTCATCATTACTGCATGGTCCATGGGTGTCATCAGTCCATGTGTGTAATCTGGCCAAGCGTGGGGGAGTCTACGGCTTCAAAAGCCATCATTACTCCATGGTCCATGGGTGTCATCAGTCCATGTGTGTAATCTGGCCAAGCGTGGGGGAGTGTAGGGCTTCAAAAGCCATCATTACTCCATAGATGTAATCTGTCCAAGCATGACGGAGTCTAGGGCCTCAAAAGCCATCATTACTCCATGGTCCATGGGTGTCATCAGTCCATGGGTGTAACCTGGCCAAGCATGGGGGAGTGTAGGGCTTCAAAAGCCATCATTACTCCATGGTCCATGGGTGTCATCAGTCCATGGGTGTAACCTGGCCAAGCGTGGGGGAGTCTAGGGCTTCAAAAGCCATCATTACTCCATAGGTGTAATCTGTCCAAGCATGGCGGAGTCTAGGGCCTCAAAAGCCATCATTACTCCATGGTACAAGGGTGTCATCAGTCCATGGGTGTAATCTGGCCAAGCGTAGGGGAGTCTAGGGCTTCAAAAGCCATCATTACTCCATGGGTGTAATCTGTCCAAACACAGCAGAGTCTAGGGCTTCAAAAACCATCATTACTCTATGGTCCATGGGTGTCATCTGTCCATGAGAAATTATATAGATGGCTTAAAACTGGTGGGGGCTTTAGATTTTACCAATTTCTGAAGCAGCTCACGAGTCTGAGACAAAACTGAGAGATGCTCTGAGCAAAAGGAAAAAAAACTCATAGAAAAATTCTTAGGCCGAGCCCTTCTGTTACCACGAGTGTGTTCTCAAAACTGGTTCCCCCAGCACAGAAAATGTTACCAGAAGAGACACTGCACTCTTACCTTTGCCATCAATTTTGAATATACTCAGCAAGGCGTTGTTCACCAAGTTAAATTCGGCAGAGTCATCTAAAAACGGAAAGGTTAAGGTTAGAAATATATACAACAAACCCAAATATACAAAGTGTAACCTTAGGAGAGGTCACAAAACCTACTACCTGGGTGAGAATAGGAGCAGGCATAAACTACAGCTGCTATCGTTAACCCCCCCCCCCCCCGGTCACACCAATACAGACTTTGAAATTGTGCCTCTTACAGTTTTTTGGGGGCTTCTGCTGTCCCGGTTCGTTCGGCCCTCACTTTTATGAGGCAACATTTTTGAAGCATTTATGTCTTTTAAGCAATTATTTATTTTGCATTTTCATATACTGTAACTCTGAAAAAAATCGACTGCTGAACACAAGTTTTCTGCGTTAAAAGAAACGACTGTAAACTCAACTGCCTGTAAACGACTGTAAAATGATGATGTGTACATGGAGACATAGGAACCCATTAGGGAGAGTTTCAGGGGCTGCTGAAAGAAATGCAGAACAGTTCCCTAAACGTGAGTTTATCAGCTGCAGTGTACATGAGCTCTAAGTGGCTGTCTATTTTAGCAATAAAGGAGCTGTTTTTTTGCACTTTGTTTTACATGATTATTATACCTGAAGAGTATTCAGGAGGAAGTATTCCTCTATTATTATTATTATTATACAGCATTTATAAAGCGCCAACAGTTCGCTCAGCGCTGTACATTACAATGGGAGACAATACATGAGACAGTACAATGCAATACACGAGGAGTTCGAGGGCCCTGCTCCTCGGAGCTTACAATCTAGGAGGGAGGGGATAGTGGTACAGGAGGAGATAGCTGTGGGGGATGGAGTGGTAGGAAGAGTGGAGGAGGTCGGCAAGTTAGCAGGGGTGGGGTAGGCTTCCCTGAAGTGGTGGGTTTTCAGGGTGCGCCTAAAGGAGAGGAGAGTAGTGATAATCTGATGGGTTGGGGCAGGGAGTTCCAGAGGATGGGTGACACCCTGGAGAAGTCCTGGAGGCGGGCATGGGAGGAGGAGACCAGGGAACTAGAGAGAAGGAGGTCTTGTGAGGAGCGGAGTGTGCGTGCTGGGCGGTACTTGGATATTAGGTCAGTGATGTAGTTCGGGGCAGTATGGTGGACAGCTTTGTACGTCAGTGTTAGGATTTTTGAATTTGATCCGTTGCGCAATCGGAAGCCAGTGGAGGGATTGGCAGAGGGGGTGGAGGACACTGAGTGGAGGCCAGTGGAGGGATTGGCAGAGGGGGGGTGGCGGAGATGGAGCGGTTGGAAAGGTGAATGAGTCTGGCAGCCGTATTCAGGATGGACTGAAGCGGGGGATAGCCAGCGGCGAGGCAGGCCAGTGAGGAGGGAGTTGCAGTAGTCGAGTCGTGATATGATGAGGGAGTGGATGAGCTGTTTAGTGGTTTCTGGGGTTAGGAACATGCGGATTTTGGTGATGTTGCGGAGGTGGAGTCTGCATGAGTTTGTTAAAGATTGGACTTGGGGCTGGAAGGATAGGTTGGAGTCCAGAATGACACCAAGTACTCTGGCCTGTGGGGCGGCCTGATAGTGGCATTGTTGGATGTGATGGAGAAGTGAATTGGGGGGGAAGACTAGGAGCTCGGTTTTGGAGAGGTTCAGTTTAAGGAAGTGGAGTGACATCCAGTCTGATATGTCATTCAGGTTTGTGATTTGGGTGGAGACTGAGGGGGTGAGGCTCTATGCCACCCTAAGTGCCTCCATATTAGGAATCCATGATCATATGAAATGATTGCCAGCTAAGCCGATTTTGGAAAATTGGAGGAGAGGAAGCAGATCAATACGAATCGAATCGATTTTTATCCCACCGAGAGATATCCATTGAGCGTTTTTTGCCAACCATGAGAGTGAGGGGGCAACACCATTTGGTGAGTGTATACCTGAAAGGGGGGACACTGGATTCTTTCACACGTGGTGATTTATTTTGAAGAAATTGAAGTTATTTGGTGGATAAGAATTGTTTTTGGACTTTCTTTTTCACTTCTGCTGTTTTTTATGTCCACATTTCATTCACTTATAATTCTGCGCTACTGAATCACTTTGAGTGTTCATTTATGTGTTATATTCATTTTGTTTTGGAAATGGCAGCAATTTTGAATTTCTTTTTTTAAAATTCATTTTGCTTTATTTTATTTATTTCAGGTACATTTATAGCGCCGTCAATTTGCGCAGCACTTTTCCTATATATTGTACATTCACATCAGTCCCCAACCCTCAAGGGGTGTACAATCTAAGGTCCCTAACTCACATTCATACATACACATACTAGGGACAATTTAGACAGGATCCAATTAACCTACCAGCATGTCTTTGGAGTGTGGGAGGAAACCGGAGTACCCGGAGGAAACCCACGCAAGCACAGGGAGAACATGCAAACTCCAGGCAGGAGGTGCCGTGGCTGGGATTAGAACCAATAACCCGAGTACTGCCAGGTGGAAGTGCTAACCATTATCCAGTGTGCTGCCCACATTCTTTACGTATTCAGCACAGTTTTCTTTCTTTTTGTATACTTATATTATTCACATTTCCCTGGATTGCTTGGTGTCAGCATAGACTGTTAGAAGTGACTCATGCAGATAGCAGAGAGGAGACTGAAATCACACTCGGTGCTTTAGAATGAGGCAACTGCACACTGTAGAAGGATATGCTCTGTTCATTTTTTCAGTTTAGAGGTTTACAACCTTTACACGTTAAACTATTTACTCGGATCTAAGAGAATCTGTCATTTTTCAAAAGAAGGCTACAGATGTAAACTTACAGATAATTTTGAAAAGCAGTTTTTTTGTGTGTCTGCAAAGTTTTCAAATGGTGAGGCATATTGATCTAGTGACAGCCCACAGTGAGTGAGGTCTGAATTCTGCTCTGTGTGTTATACAATACCTGACTGCAGAAGCTGTGCCAGAATATCGGCCACGCGTGGAAGGTTCTCCCCCGTTGCAAACTGTGAGAGCTCTTTGATAGCTTGTCTTCGGATCTAATAAACAATGGAAAGTTGAGAGTCAGTGCAGAAATGGTATTGGCTATCACAATGGCTTTGACTCCAAGGGGGAGATTTACTATTATTATTATTATACAGGATTTACATATTATTATACAGGATTTATATATTATTATTATTATACAGGATTTATATATTATTATTATTATACAGGATTTATATATTATTATTATACAGGATTTATATATTATTATTATACAGGATTTACATATTAAATTCAGGATTTATATATTAAAAATTATTATTATACAGGAAAAAAAAAAAAAAAAATTATACAGGATTTACATATTTATTATTATACAGGATTTACATAAAATTATTATAAAAATTTACATATTATTATTCGGGATTTATAAAAATTATTATTAAAAATTTAAAAATTATTAAATTAAAATTTAAAAAAATAAAATTATAAATTTATAAATAAAATTAATATAAAAGGATTTTAATAAAAAAAAATTATAAAAAATTTATAAATTAAAATTAACAAAAAAATTATTAAAAACAGGATTTAATAAAAATAAAATTTATATAAAAAAAAAATTAAAAAATACAAAAAATATTATTAAAATACAAAAAAAAAAAATTAAAAAAAAACAATAATTTAAAATTATTATTATACAGGATTTAAAAAATAATTTATTAAACAGGGATTTACATATTATTATTATACAGGATTTATATATTATTATTATTAAACAGGATTTATATATTATTATAATACAGGATTTATATATTATTATACAGGATTTATAAAAAAAATTATTATACAGGATTTATATATTATTATTATAATACAGGATTTATATATTATTATTATACAGGATTTATATATTATTAAATTATACAGGATTTATATATTATTATTATACAGGATTTATTATTATTATAACAGGATTTATTTATTATTATTATTATACAAATTTATTTATTATTATTATTATTATACAGGATTTATAAAATTATAATTATTTATTAAATATAATACAGGATTTATATACTATTATTATTATACAGGATTTATATATTAATTATTAACAGGAATTTATATATATTATACAGGATTTATATTATTATAATACAGGATTTATATTATTATACAGGATTTATATTCTATTATTATACAGGATTTATATATTATTATACAGGATTTATATATTATTATAATACAGGATTTATGGCGCCAACAGTTTGCTCAGCGCTTTACAATATAACGGGAGACAATACAGCAAACAATACAGTTCAATACAAGAGGGATAGGAGGGCCCTGATCCTTGGAGCTTACTAAAACTGGAGCACTCAGAATCTGATGCTGCTGTGCATGGCAACCAATCAGCTTCTATCCTCAGACTGGTTCTAAAGGTTCAAGGTTTTTTACCTTCATATATTCTATGCATGAAGGTAAAAAAACTGTGTGCATCCCCCCCAATCCTTTCCTAAGCCCCCTCCAATCCAGCGATGTTCTCGACAGCCTTTGCTGTCTGGGGACTCTTTCTCCTCATTGGCCAAGACAGCAAAGGGAGCCCATTGGCTCCCACTGCCGTCAATCACAGCCAGTGAGCCAATGAGGAGAGAGAGGGGGGCCAGGCCGAGCTGCGGCTTTATGTGTCTTATGGATGCATCTCGGAGACAAGCAAGCAGAGGTGCCCCCAGGGCCAGCGGCTTTCCCTGGGGGCACTGCTTGAGAGGGTGGAGCCAGGAGTGTCAGAGAAGACCTGAAAAGAGGACCGGGCTGCTCTGTGCAAAACCACTGCACAGAGCAGGTAAGTATAGACATGTTTGTTATTTTAGAAAAGAAAAGCTTTAGGGCTCGCTCACACTTGACTGTTTTCCCAACTCTAGCCAAACACCCCTATAGCGTTTGACAATCGTTGGTCTGGCGTTTGCGGAGCGTTTTTATGTGCGGTTTTCATGTGCGGTTTAGCGGTGGTTGCTAGGCGTTTGCCAAGTGTTAAAAACGCCCCACAAACGCCTATAATGAAGTTTGAATGGTGTTAACGCTCCGCAAACACCTCACAAAACGCCGGCCGGTGGGCGTTTGCGGAGTGGCACCATAGACTTGAATAGGAGGCTTAAACTCCTCCTGACTCGAACAGAGGCGTCCGTTTTGCTGCGATGCGACGCTCCCGTTTGAATAGCACTATGTGCTGCAATGCAGAATTTTCCCAGGCGTTTGGGAAACAGTAAAAACGCTTCCCAAATGCCTGTCTGCCGCTTGCTAACAAGGCTAGTGTGCACGTAGCCTTAGTGTCACTTTAAGCTTTGACAACAAAACCTGAAAACCGATTGGCTGCCATGCACAGCTGCACCAGATTCTGCACTCTCTAGTTTTAGTAAATCAGCCCCCTAGAGGTCTAGAGAAAATGAAAGCTTACACTGTGCCTACAGGAATCAAACCTTTTCAAGATGACATGTGATTGCTGTGGGCAACAGGCAAGTGGAGCATGGGACCCTCATCAACACAACTGAGCTGATTTATGTCAGATGCCGCCATCACTGGGCCCCACAGTGGGTGCTTCATTCAGAAATAAAGGGGGCAGTGTGCAGCCTGTGGCTTCCCATCCAATTCTCTCCGCTAAAACAGACCCCGTCACCAGGCCATTATTTTTTTTATCACCAAAAATCTTCCAATAATACTTTATATCCGTTTAGTATATTTTATGTTTATTCTCCTGTATCTTTGATCCTGTCAGTAGCACTCTTCCTGTCATAGGGTGACAACAGGGGCGGACTGACCATTTGGAAAACTCGGGCACTACCCGAGGGTCCGGGGTCAGTAGGGGGCCCCATGAGATGACCCTGGTACCTTTTTCATAGGCTTTTTTGAGTTTGGGCAAAGACACAGGGGGCCCCATGATCCCCTATTGCCCGGGGGCCCCATGAGTTGTCAGTCCGGCCTGGGTGACAATACTCACATGTTGTACTACATCTAATTATCAGTGTTGTCACACTAAGATAGGAAGTGTGTTAGGACTAGACAACTACTCCCTCTCGCTTCAGCACTAAAGCATAGGGGAGGTGTTTTTCTGTAGTCCAGGAGCTGAACTAGAAGGGGGTGGAAACGCTTCTGATAAGACAGCAGAGTGCGTATGATATCCCTAGATTACTGGCAGGATCAACAGATTTTTTTATTTTGCACTTAAAGTTCCACTCACATTGTAAAAAAATAAAAGTTAACAGCTACAAAAACTGTAGCTGCTGACTTTTAAAAAACAGCCACTTACCTGTCCCTCGGTCCCGTTGTGTCTCCCCCGCAGCCCGTTTCACCAGCCGTCCTGGGTTCCAGATGCCGGCATCTTCAGTGTGGGTACCCGGCTGTAAACAGCTTGCGTCTTCACAGCCGGGTGCCCACTGCGCATGCGCGAGTAGCGCTGCACTTCATGAATGGTCCTGTCGTCTTCTGGGACCTGTCACGTGTCCCACAAGACTTCAGGGAGGGAAGGGGGGAGGACAACTTCTGCATACCTGTCAATTTCAGGTACCCACTCCCCAAAGGTGCCTATCCTTAATGGGGAGCAGGGATCCAATCTTTAAAGCGGAACTTCCCCTTTTCCATGGAACTCCGCTTTAACTACTTGCCGCCCAAGTCAAATGACGGATACAGCGCGATCGGCTGGTTCTGGGAGGGCGTCTATTGATGTCCTGCCAGAATCCTGCTCCCCTGGGGAGTGCTCCCAAGGACACAACTGATCACAGAGAGAGGTAAAGGGCCAATCACAAAGGCCCTTTACCACGTGATCAGCTGTGTTTCAATCACAGCTGATCACACATGTAAATAGACTTGCCAGTTATCAGCCGTCTTCTCCTCACGCTGTCACGGCGCTGGTAACCGGCGATTCTCACGGGGACATCTACACTTATAATCAGTGCTGCCTACCAATGCCCTTTAGTGAAGGAGAAAAATTACTTCTTTGCAAAATTTTATAACAGAAACTAAGTAAAATATTTTTTCCCCAAAATCGTTTTTTGTAAAATAAACAAAATAATAATTAAAATAAATAATATAAAACCCCAGCGGTGATCAAATACCACCAAAAAAAGCTTTATCTTTCTATAAAAAATTGATAAACATTTCATATGGCTACAGTGATGCATGACTGCGCAATTGTCAAAATGCGACAGCGCTGAAAGCTAGAAATTTTGCTGGGCAGGAAGGGGGTGAAAGTGACCGGTAGGCAAATGATTAACCTCCCTAGCGGTCTGATTATGTCAGTACTTCTGTGCTGAAAGCGGTACATTTTTTTGCATGGAAATATGTCGTTTTTTTATTGTATTCCTGTAATTCTTAGGAATAACTCACTGAAATCTGTCCGAACAAGAGTCTAGTAAACATCCCGGGTATGATAAAACATGAAACACGAAATCATAAATTATAATATAATAAATAATCATAAAAAATAATAATAATATAATATTAATACATTTGATTCAATAATATAATCAAACCAAAAAACACTGAAATGTGAAATATAGCGCCAAGTTCGCACATCGCTGAGCAAAGTCGCAGAATCGTTTTCAGTGTCTGATGAGGAATTTCCCCCACTAATCATTATCACTCAATTCTGCAAGTGGTTCTGATTTACTATCGCTGTTCTCTAGCCGGTCTAAAACCGCTTTTGACCTAAAGGGACGCTTTTTTGGACGCCATGGACGTTTCTCAGTTTCCAGGCAGAAAGAACAGTAAAGATGCAGGCAGGGCGCCGGACAAAGCACTCGGGACAAAATGTATGTGAAATGGTTTGATACAGGAATGTTATACTATGTGATTTTAGTGTATTTAGTGAATGTCACTTAAAATTTTCAAATTTCCCGCCAGTTCCGTCCCCACCGTACGTCCCGACGTCACAGGGAACGGAACCCGGAAAACAGATGCCGGCATCGGCCGGAGGACATTACAGGGGACACTGCAGGGGGGACATCGCGGGAGCGCAGGACAAGGTAAGTACAGAAGAGATCCCGGAGCAACGCTGCAGTGTATTCCCGAGTGTAGCTCGGGGTTACCGCTTGTGGTGCTGAAACTTTACCCCGAGCTACACTCGGGAATACCGCCAGGGGGGGTTAAAGTAGAATTCTAGCCTAAACGTGTTTAAACATGCTCCCTCCTAACATCTGTACTAAGTTCTGCAAAAAAGATGTATATAGATCTACCTATTTATTAACCACTTCCCGACCGGACGTTGCATATAAACGGCCGGACGGTGGCAGTGCAGGGTTGGGTGGCGGTTTATAAACGGCCTCCCCGCACCCTGCTTGTGGGCGCTCCCTGGAAGCGCGCAGACAGCACCGCGATCCGGTGCCCGCTGTGTCCTCCGGACACAGTGAAACACTGATCGTCGGACGGGACCTCTGTACGAGGTCCCGATCATGTGATCACTGATTGGCCAATCAGTGATCACATGCAAAGTAGTAAGCAAGATGTCACTTGTGACATCATTGCTTACTACGTGTGAAATCTGTGAATGATTACAATGGTCACATGGTACAGGGCTATTCACAACAGCCTTGTACCATGTGACAAGCTGTGACCAATCACAGCTCACTCAGTACTTCTCAATGAGTGCAAGAATGCAGACAGAGAGAAAGAGAAATGATTGCTTTTACATCCTATATGGGTGTAAAAGCAATCAGTGTAAAAAAAAAAAAAAATCATCACACCCCACAAGTAGTACAGTGTCACCATGGTGACAATGTACTGCTAGGGTGACAGTATGTAAAAAAAAAAAAAAAAATAAAAAAAAATAATAATATAAAAAAATAAAATACAAATGTAAAAAAAAAATGTTTAAAAAATTATAATTTTTGGTTATAAACTAATTTGGATTTTTTTTTTTTTTTACTAAAAAGATAACGGAATAAATTTGGCAAAGATTTATGATGAAATATTATTTATTTGCAAAATTTTATTAAAAAAAAAAAAACATTTTTTCAAAATGTTTGGACTTTTTCATTTACATAGCAAAGAAAATAAAAATCCCAGCGGTGAATAAATAATACCAAAATAAAGTTTTATCTGTGTCAAAAAAATGGTAAAAAAATTCATATGGGTACAGTGTTGCATGACCGCGCAATTGTCATTCAAAGTGTGATAGCACTGAAAGCTGAAAATTGCCCCGGACTGGAAGGGGGTGAAAGTGTCCGGACTGGAAGGGGGGGGGGAAGTGTCCGGACTGGAAAGGGGGGGAAAGTGTCCGGACTGGAAGTGGTTAACTCTCTCTGGTCATGGGATCCGGTTCCTGTGTCAGTTACGGGGAAAGGAGGGAGAGCAAACAACAGCTCGACATTGGAGCCTATGGATGGCATTACCAATCCCAGACATTTCCAGCCTTTGTCGGCACTCCTTCCTCTCCCCTGCAGCTGCCACTAACTGCCACGGGGGATCACATGATCAAATCAGAGTGTGCTGGAAACTAGGTAAGTATCTCTTACACAGGTTAGTCAGGTGTAAGGAGGGGGGGAGGGGAATTTTACAACTAGTTGGGTTTAGGGTGAAATATACTTTAACAAATACCAAAACTCTTTTCAATAGTATATATAACAGACCTAAAGGGAGCCAATCATGCAGGCCATAGACGGGTCGTTTATCGGGCGAATTTTCGTCTGCACGAAAAATCGGCCGATATTCACGCCGTTAGTGGGGCCAGACGTTTTTTGCGGATCTTCTCGTTTATTTGTATCGGTAATGCTGGAAAATCCACGAAAGGACATTGGTGGCAGCATCGGCAACGGCAAGATGTTCATTGTACACATCAATGAACATCTTGAGATAAAAGACGTTTACACAAAGTGTGCAGAATAGGTCAGGTCATGTCTTCCCATCCCCCGAAAACAAATCGCACCAATGCAATGAAAAGCAGCTGCGCCAACCTCCCCTCCAATCTCCTCCCCCCCCCCCTCCCTGTGTCTGGTGAACCTGCCCTGTCTGTTTATTCGGATGTGAAATGACTGGCAGAACACATTTTCAGCACAGTTCCTACCGACACATCCTCGTCTTCACACAGATCCAGTTGGGCGTTTATGGCAGCGTCGGCCAAATCCGGGAAATGTTTGAAGAATTTGGGAATAAACTGCGCTGCCAATCTCTTCTCCTTCGCTCCACCTTTCACGCCGTCCAGGATCACCTGATAGGCCGCTCTGTGCTGTAAAATAAGCATGCATTATGTATAAAACAGGATTATTTATGAAAGAAAACAAAACAAAACTATGGCGCTTGGTTGATGAATGTAACAGATCAAAGTGGAAAGAAACAGTCGATTAAAAAAAACAAAACAAAAAAAAAAAAAAACTGAAAATACTACAAATGCTAAAAAAACAAAAAGAAAATAGAAAAAAAAAACTGAAAATACTACAAATGCTAAAAAAAAAAAAACGAACAAAAAGAAAATAGAAAGAAAAAAAACACACTGAAAATACTACAAATGCTAAAAAACCCAAAAATAAAATAGAAAAAAAAAAAAATGACAGCTTATGGATGTTGCTCCTCTAAAAAAGGTCTTGAGTAACCTATTGCACACATGAACAAACAGTAGAGGGCGCCAACATCGAAGTAAATTAGGGATAAAATGCACTCACGGCCTTAAAGGGTTAATCCTCATTCCTCAGTATACAGATGGACCAAAGATGGACCTCATCCATATACTGAGAAATGCCAATTAACCCTTTAAGGCCGTGAGTGCATTTATCTTTACTGTAATAAACCTTCTGCACTTAGATGTTGGCGCCCTCTTCCATTTATTCTTTAGAATTATATCTGAATACTATCAGGTATATGTAAAAAAAAAAATACTGGAGGGGGGGGGCTGTGCCGGAAAAAGGGAAGAGGGAGGGACTGTGATGTGAAAGGGGACTCGTGGAGTGGAGGGGGTATGGGGGGGAGAAACGACGGCTGTGCCACGGGAAGGGAAGAGGGACTGCAATGTGAAAAAAAGACTGGTGGGGTGGAGGGGGTATGGGGGGGGGGGGGGGGAACGACTGTGCCATGGGAAGGGAAGAGGGACTGCAATGTGAAAAAGAGACTGGTGGGGTGGAGGGGGTATGGGGGGGGGGGGGGGTACTGTGCCGCAAAAAGGGAAGGGGAGAGGGACTGCAATGTGAAAAGGGGACTGGTGGAGTGGAGGGGGTATGGGGACGACGACTGTGCCACGGGAAGGGGAGAGGGACTGCAATGTGAAAAAGAGACTGGTGGGGTGGAGGGGGTATGGGGGGGGGGGACTGTGCCGCAAAAAGGGAAGGGGAGAGGGACTGCAATGTGAAAAAGAGACTGGTGGGGTGGAGGGGGTATGGGGGGGGGGGGGGGTACTGTGCCGCAAAAAGGGAAGGGGAGAGGGACTGCAATGTGAAAAGGGGACTGGTGGAGTGGAGGGGGTATGGGGACGACGACTGTGCCACGGGAAGGGGAGAGGGACTGCAATGTGAAAAAGAGACTGGTGGGGTGGAGGGGGTATGGGGGGGGGACTGTGCCGCAAAAAGGGAAGGGGAGAGGGACTGCAATGTGAAAAAGAGACTGGTGGGGTGGAGGGGGTATGGGGACGACGACTGTGCCACGGGAAGGGGAGAGGGACTGCAATGTGAAAAAGAGACTGGTGGGATGGGGGGGGGGGACTGTGCCGCAAAAAGGGAAGGGGAGAGGGACTGCAATGTGAAAAAGAGACTGGTGGGGTGGAGGGGGTATGGGGACGACGACTGTGCCACGGGAAGGGGAGAGGGACTGCAATGTGAAAAAAGAGACTGGTGGGGTGGAGGGGGTATGGGGGGGGGGGGGGGGGACTGTGCCGCAAAAAGGGAAGGGGAGAGGGACTGCAATGTGAAAAGGAGACTGGTGGGGTGGAGGGGGTATGGGGGGGGGGGGGGGGGACTGTGACGTGAAAAGGGACTGGTGGGGTGGAGGCTCAGGGGGGGGTGTGGGGGGGGACTGTACTGTGAAAAGGGTGTGAATAGGGGAGAGGTGAGGACTGTACTGTGAAAAGGGTGATTGTGGTGGGGGGGGGGGGAATGGTATTAATTCAGATGTGAAACCTGACTCTAAGGAGGAGACTTTTGATGTGATGGGAAGGGGGGGGGTCTCTGATATGAAGTTACAGCAAACTCCACCCAAAAGTCCCACCTCTCCCATATTTGGCATGTCATTTTTTTTGGAGGGGGGGGGGGGCAAGTACCTAGTTTTGACAGGTACCTGCTCCCCACTTCTGCTTGGATTGCTTACATGAGTGGACGTTCTCCTCCCCGCAGTCTTCTGGGACCAATCACACGCTTGCGCATGCGCAGTAGGCAGCCGACTGTGAAGCCGAAAGCACAATAGCTGACTGATGCCGATGATGGGACCCCAAAGACTGGAGAAGAACAGCGAGGAGGGTGCTGGATCCCCAGACAGCTGTCAGGTCAGCAGTCTTCCCATGATTGTGTAACCTACCGACCTGGACTGAGGGACCATATAAAGGATCAGGAAACCTTTCCAGGTGTTTGGGGAGTTAATTAGCTGATTAGAGGGTGACCCCCCCCCAAGTCTACAAAATTGTCTGCACCCCACCTCCCGATACCTGCACCCCACTGCCTGCACGACACTACTCACTGCCTGCACCCCACTGCCCGATGCCTGCACCCCACTACTACTGCCTGCACCCCGCTCCCCGATACCTACACCCTACTGCCTGCACCCCACTACTCACTGTCCTGCACCCCCTGCCCGATGCCTGCACCCCACGGGAGGCGTGATGATGGCGATGAGGGGGGAAGGGGGGGGGAAGGGAGGGGGGAAGGGGGGGGAAGGGGGGGGGGGAGGGGAGAGTGATGCGGAGGGCAAGAGGAGGAGTGATGATGATGATGATGTGGGGGGGGGGGAGGGGGGGGGGGAAGAGGGAGAGTGATGCGGAGGGCAAGAGGAGGAGTGGTGATGATGATGAGGGGACACAGGGGGGAGCGATGATGGTAATGAGGGGGCAAAGGGGGGAGTAATGAGAGGGGCACGGGGGGAGGGGTGAGTGGCATGATGATGATCAGAGGAGTACAGGGTCTGTGTGTGATGATGAGAGGGGCACGAGGGGGTGTGATGATGATGATGAGAGGGGCTAGGGGAAGAAGTTGGGGGGTGTTGTGTGATGATGATGAGTGGGGCGGGGGTTGAGGGTGATGATGAGAGGGGACAGCAGGGGGGGGTGAATTTGATTGATGATAGGGGCATGGGGGGGGGGGAGGAGGTGAAGAAGGAGGGGAGGGGGGGTTGTGATGAAGAGGGGGGCACAGGGGTGGAGGTGATGACGAGGGGCACGGGGGGGGGGGGGGATGACGAGGGGGCACGGAGGGGGGGGGTGATGACGAGGGGCACAGAGGGTGTTGTTGTTGGGTGGGGGGGGAATCACAGGAGTACAAGGCTGTGTGATGATGATGAAGGGGGGGGGGGCGGCAGGAGAGGAGGGGATATGGGGGGGGGGGGGGGAATGCTGATTAGGAGGGGGGGGATGTTGATGGTTTGGGAAAGATGATGAGTTGGGGGGGGGTACAGAGGTGACGGAGGGGTGATTATGAGGGTGTATTGATTATGGGGGGAGGGACAGGGGGATGAGGGGGGGGGGTACAGTGTGATGATGATGAGGGGGAGGGGTGGTAGTGATGGGGGGGTGATCCTACCCGGTGTATAAGCGGTTCCCCCCTAGAGATGGACACATGGGGGGGGGGGTGTAACAGTAGATTCCCCCTCGAGGGAGGGGGGTCAGTCCCGGGAGATGACGATGAGGCCGGACAGAGTCCCCCGGTCCCCGGCCCCGCTCTCACCTTGCTGACATCGTCCTTGGCGTCGGCCAGGATCCCGTAGTTCCGGTAGAGCTCCTCCACGGTCGGCATGGCGATCACACAGCGACTGTCCTCCTCTCTCCGAGTGCGCACCTCCGACCACCGACTACACAGGCGGGGAAGAGCAGAGCGGAGGGGGAGAGCCACAGCGACACCCAGCGGCACCTACTCACACGGCAACCGTAGGCCTGGTCACAGCGACATCTGGCGGCACCTGGTGACACTGCGCTCACCGGAAATGAATGGGGCTTGCTACAGCGACACCTAGTGGAAAAGAATAGGAAACGAAGGTGTATCACAGCGACACCTGGTGACCATTGTTGAACTTACACAAAGCAAATGACATTGGAGGTTGGCAAACCTTTCCCACACTCATTGTGACCTTTCTATCACGGAGGGACTATAAATATTAGTCAGGTGTCAGGGAACCTCTGCTGATAATTATTATATCTACAGGTGCATTGATTTGAACAGTAAATTCAGATATAAGATTAAATAGAAAAATAAATGGGAAATACTTTGCATATTTAATTTCCCAGGGCTACTCTGTCCTGCAATATTTTTTTTTTTTTTAGTAATATTAAAGTGTTACTAAACCCCGGACCCTGCATTCACTACATCCATTTTCCCCGGACCCTGCATTCACTATATCCACTATTCCCGGATCCTGCATTCACTATATCCGGTCTCCCCGGACCCTGCATTCACTATATCCGCTCTCCCCGGACCCTGCATTTACTATATCCGGTCTCCCCAGACCCTGCATTCACTATTTCCGCTCTCCCCAGACCCTGCATTCACTAAATCCGGTCTCCCCGGACCCTGCATTCACTATATCCGGTCTCCCCAGACCCCGCATTCACTATATCCGCTCTCCCCGGACCCCGCATTCACTATATCCGCTCCCCCCGGACCCTGCATTCACTATATCCTCTCTCCCTGGACCCTGCATTCACTATATCCGCTTTCTCCGGACCCTGCATTCACTATATCCGCTCTCCAGGGACCCTGCGTTTGCTATATCATCCTTCTTTTTCCTCCAAACACGACGAGTGAAGTTTAGACCAAAAAGTTCTACTTTGGTCTCATCTGACCACATGACTCCCTCCCATGCCTCCTCTGGATCATCCAGATGGTCATTGGCAAACTTCAGACGGGCCTGGACATGTGATGACATGAGCAGGGGAACCTTCCGTGCAATGCATGATTTGACACCATGACGGCGTAGTGTTCTACCGACAGTGACCTTTGAAACTGTGGTCCCAGCTCTCTTCATGTCATTGACCAGCTCCTCCCTTGTAGTTCTGGGCTGATTCCTCACCTTTCTTATCAGTGATACCCCACGAGGTGAGATCTTGCATGGAGCCCCAGTCCGAGGGAGACTGACAGTCGTCTTTAGCCTCTTCCATTTTCTAACAATTGCTCCAACAGTTGATCTATTTTCATCAAGCTGCTTGGCAATTGCCCCGTAGCCCTTTCCAGCCTTGTGGAGGTCCACAATTTTGTCTCTGGTGTCTTTTGACAGCTCTTTGGTCTTGCCCATGGTAGTAGTTGGCGTCTGACTGACTGTGGGGTGGACAGGTGTCTTTAGCCTCCCTGGCGGTATTCCCGAGTGTAGCTCGGGGTAAAATTTCAGTACCACAAGCGGTAACCCCGAGCTACACTCGAGCTTACCATGCGGCGTTGCTCAGGGATTCCCTGCAGCACTTACCTTGTCCTTCGCTCCCGCGATGTGTCCCCTGCAGCGTCCCCGGCCATGTCCTCCAGCATCCGGCTTCCGTGTTCCTGTCCCTGTGACGTCGGGACGTACGGGCGCCGGAACCGGCGTCAAATTTGAAAGTTTTTTAAAATGTAATTTTTTTTTTAAAACGATTATTACATAGTATAACACATTGCTGTTTCAAAGCATTTCACATACATTTTGTCCCGAGTGCTTTGTCCGGCGCCCTGCCTGCGTTTTGTCTGTTCTTTCTGCCTGGAAACTGAGAAACGTCCATGGCGTCCAAAAAGCGTCCCTTTAGGTCAAAAGCGGTTTTAGACCGGCTAGAGAACAGCGATAGTAAATCAGAACCACTTGCAGAATTGAGTGATAATGATTCGTGGGGGAAATTCCTCATCAGACACTGAAAACGATTCTGCGACTTTGCTCAGTGATGTGCGAAACTTGGCGCTCTATTTCACATTTCAGTGTTTTTTGGTTTGATTATATTATTGAACTAGAAAAAGCTACAATTTCTGGGGAAATTGTGTGAAGTGTTCTTGCCTCCACCAGTAGTCTACAACTGGAGTGGGCGGAGTAACTGGGTGGAGTGGGTGGAGTAACTGGGTGGAGTGGTGGAGTAACTGGGTGGAGTAACTGGGTGGAGTAGGCGGAGTAACTAGGTGGGGTGGGCGGAGTAACTGTTGTGTAACAGCTCCCACTCTAGTTTTGAACATTCCGCCATTCATTCCTATGGGACCAATTTCACCACAAAAACGGCGATATTTCGTGAAGCATTCGGCGAAACGTTCCACAAAGTGATAGCGCACCAATCGGGAACAATCCGCACGTTTCGGTATATTACTGTCTATGTAGTGTAAACACTGTGGGAGGAGTTAGGGGGGTAAATTTGGCTATAATAATAAGAATATATATGTGAGATAACAGGAAGTGGTCGCCATGCAAGAACACTTAATTAAATTTATTATTAAATTATTATTTTTTATGATTGTTTATTAAATTATAATTTATGATTTTGTGTTTCAAGTTTTATCATACCCGGGATGTTTCCTAGACTCTTGTTCGGACAGATTTCAGTGAGTTATTCCTAAAAATTACAGGCCTACAATAAAAAAACTACATATTTCCATGCAAAAAAATGTACCGATTTCAGCACCAAAAATCTGAAATAATCAGACCGCCAGGGAGGTTAAAGGGCTCAGACAGGTGCTACTAAGTTCGATTAATGAGTGGAGTAGAGGTGGACTTTTTAAAGGCGCAGTAACAGGTCTTTGAGAGACAGAATTCTTGCTGTTTCTCAGGTGTTCAAATACTTCTGTTCAGCAGTGCGAGACAAATACATTCTTTACAAATCATACAATGTGATTTCCTGAATGTTTTTTTAAATTCTGTCTCTCAGAGTGGGAATGCACCTACAATGTGAATGTCAGACCCCTCCATGATTTCTAAGTGGGAGAACTTGCAAAATCGCAGGGGGTTCAAATACTTCTGTTCCTCGTTGTATGTTTTATTGTGTGTCTTTTATTTTGTAAAGCAAAGATGTTGTTTTAAATTGAATTAAATGGCAGTTTTTCTCTGGCTCTAGGGGACATGTCATGAGTTGGACCTCATGTCTTTTCTCTTGAAGATATTTAGTATGGATGTTAGTGTTTTTTATGTTGTATTTTTTTCCCTAATGAAGGGGGGTCTTTTTTGGCCCTCAAAACACGTTGACTGCCTTTTGTGGAAACAATTAAATTACATTTATGGACTCTCAACATGTGTGTTTGGCGCCCCTTCTGGCTCAGTTATGTATGGGGGGGGGGGGGGGGGGGGGATTATGGCCAGATCATGGTTGTGCCTCTCCAGATTTCAGTTATGCTTTTTAGTTTTTCAGATTTCAGTTAGCTGAACCCTGTTCTCTGTCCTGCTGACCCCTGTACACTGCCCTACTGACCCCCTGTCTGCCGTCCTGCTGACCCCTGTATACTGCCCTACTGACCCCCTGTCTGCCGTCCTGCTGACCCCTGTACACTGCCCTACTGACCCCCTGTCTGCCGTCCTGCTGACCCCTGTACACTGCCCTACTGACCCCCTGTCTGCCGTCCTGCTGACCTCTGTACACTGCCCTACTGACCCCCTGTACGCCGTCCTGCTGACCCCTGTACACTGCCCTACTGACCCCCTGTCCACCGTCCTGCTGACCCCTGTACACTGCCCTACTGACCCCCTGTCTGCCGTCCTGCTGACCCCTGTACACTGCCCTACTGACCCCCTGTCCGCCGTCCTGCTGACCCCTGTACACTGCCCTACTGACTCCCTGTCCGCCGTCCTGCTGACCCCTGTACACTGCCCTACTGACCCCCTGTCTGCCGTCCTGCTGACCCCTGTACACTGCCCTACTGACTCCCTGTCCGCCGTCCTGCTGACCCCTGTACACTGCCCTACTGACTCCCTGTCTGCCGTCCTGCTGACCCCTGTACACTGCCCTACTGACACCCTGTCCGCCATCTTGCTGACCCCTGTACACTGCCCTACTGACCCCCTGTCCTAAGCCCATCAATGGTGAACTGTTGCTGGTGTGTGAGAGACAAATCCGTCATCTGTGAGGTGTAATGCCTGTTTAGTTCTTCGGGTGGAGTCTATTCATATGAAAAATTGCATAGCCATTTGTGTTGCCAATTTGCATGTACAGTACATTGGGTCTGTTCAAACTGGGCAAAAACAAATGCTGTTCAGGCTATCTTCTCTTCCGAACGAATGTCTTTTTATTATTTGCAATAGTGAAAATACCACGTTCTGGCTGCTAGATGGAGCTGAAGAGCATCCAAAATATGACGGTGGCATCAAAAAGTTTCAAGACTAGTTTTGTAACTCGCCAACAGATGGCAGCAGAAGGCCGCACACACAGTCACAGAGAGCGCTGACCTTCATAAGTCAGTGTCTAAAGACATCGTCCTCTGTACATCAATGCCTAACCTCACAAATGTGCTTCTGGAAGAATGGTCCAACCTTCCCATAGACACCCTCCTAAACCTTGTGGACGGCCTTCCCAGAAGAGTTGAAGCTGTTATAGCTGCAAAGTGCGGGGCCAACTCAATATTGAACCCTACAGACTAATGCAGGCCATAGATGGGGAGAAAACCAGCCGATTTTCTTTAAAAAAATGAAAAATCGGTTGTTCAATCGGCTGACGTTACCAGGAACGGTAAAAAAAATCGGCTGATTTTCATCCCGTCTACAGCCGGCAAAAAGTGTCCCTGCAGAGAGCTCCGCTATTTCTTTGACAGTTCTTTGACATTTATAGCGGTTGCAACATTGTATCTATTTGTATCCATTTCGGATACAGATGTTTTTATTCGGAAACAAATAGATACATTGTTGCAACCGCTATAAATGTCAAAGAACTGTCAAAGAAATAGCGGAGCTCTCTGCAGGGACACTTTTTGCCGGACTGGAATTCTTCTTCTTCTTCTTCATCCTCTTCTTCTTCCTTTTCCTCTTCCTCTTCTTCTTCATCCTCTTCTTCTTCTTCATCTTCTTCCTCTTCATCCTCTTCTTCCTCTTCTTCTTCATCTTCTTCTTCCTATTCTTCTTCTTCATCCTCTTCTTCTTCTTCCTCTTCCTCTTCTTCTTCATCCTCTTCTTCTTCTTCTTCATCTTCTTCTTCTTCATCCTCCTCTTCTTCTTCTTCATCCTCTTCTTCTTCATTATTTTCTTCCTCTTCTTCTTCCTCTTCATCCTCTTCTTCTTCTTCATCCTCTTCTTCTTCCTCTTCTTCATCCTCTTCTTCTTCTTCATCTTCTTCATCTTCTTCTTCATCCTCTTCATCCTCTTCTTCTTCTTCATCCTCTTCTTCCTCTTCTTCATCCTCTTCTTCTTTTTCTTCTGCTTTTTGTCTTCCTCTTGCAGGTCACTGCTCATGCACAGATTTTTTTATCGGTAAAAAGATCGGCCGATTTGCCCATCATTGCCGCGAAAATCGGCCGAATTTTTTCAAACTTTACCGATAAAAAAAACCTGCCAAAATACCGAAAAACGGCCGACCTATTAACACACTAACATTCCAAAAATCGGCCGATTTTATTTTCGACTGAAAAATCGGTCGATTTTCGAACCCATCTATGGCCTGCATAAGACTGGGAGGCCATTAAAGTTCATGTGTGTGGGAAGGCAGGCGGCCCAATACTTTTGGCAATATATGCAGGCCATAGACGGGGAGAAAAACGGGCGATTTTTCTTTTAAAAAACGAAAAAATCGGTCGTTCAAGCGGCCGACGTTACCACCAATGGTAAAAAAAAATCGGCCGATTTTCATCCCGTCTACAGCCGGCAAAAAGTGTCCCTGAAGAGAACTCTGCTGTTTCTTTGACAGTTCTTTGACAGTTCCTTGACATTTACAGAGGTTGCAACAATGTATCTATTTGTTTCCATTTAGGATACAGATGTTTTTATTCGGAAACAAATAGATACAATGTTGCAAACTCTGTAAATGTCAAGGAACTGTCAAAGAAATAGCGGAGCTCTCTGCAGAGACACATTTTGCCGGACTGGAATTCCTTTTATTTTTCATCTTTTTTCTTCTCCTTCTTCATCATCATCCTCTTCTTCTTCTTCTTCATCATCATCATCCTCTTCTTCTTCTTTTACTTCTTCATCATCATCATCCTCTTCTTCTTCTTCTTCTTCTACTTCTTCTTCATCATCATCCTCTTCTTCATCATCATCATCCTCTTCTTCATCATCGTCATCCTCTTCTTCTTTGTCATCATCATCCTCTTCTTCTTCTACTTCTTCATCATCATCCTCTTCTTCTACTTCTTCATCATCACCCTCTTCTTTTTCTTCATCATCATCATCCTCTTCTTCTACTTCTTTGTCATCATCATCCTCTTCTTCTTCTTCTACTTCTTCACCTTCATCCTCTTCTTCATCTTCTTCTACTTCTTCATCATCATCCTCTTCTTCTTCTTCTACTTCTTCATCCTCCTCCTCCTCTTCTTCTTCTTTTTCTTCATCATCATCATCATCATCATCATCCTCTTCTTCTTCTACTTCTTCATCATCATCCTCTTCTTCTACTTCTTCATCATCATCCTCTTCTTCTTTTTCTTCATCATCATCATCATCCTCTTCTTCTTCTTCTACTTTTTCTTCTTCATCATCATCCTCCTCCTCTTCTTCTTCTTCTTTTTCTTCATCATCATCATCCTCTTCTTCTTCTTCATCATCATCATCCTCTTCTTCTTCTACTTCTTCATCATCATCCTCTTCTTCATCTTCTTCTACTTCTTCATCATCATCATCCTCCTCTTCTTCTTCTTCTACGTCTTCATCATCATCATCATCATCCTCTTCTTCTTCTTCTACTTCTTCATCATCATCCTCTTCTTCTTCTTTTTCTTCATCATCATCATCCTCTTCTTCTTCTTCATCATCATCCTCTTCTTCTTCTTCATCATCATCCTCTTCTTCATCATCATCATCATCTTCATTCTCTTCTTCTTCCTCTTCTTCTTTTTGTCTTCCTCTTGCAGGTCACTGCTCATGCGCAGATTTTTTATCGGTAAAAAATCGGCCGATTAGCCCATTATTGCCGCGAAAATTGGCCGATCGGCAAAATCGGCCGATTTTTTTCCCAACTTTCCCGATTAAAAAAAACGGCCAAAATACCGAAAAACGGCTGAACAAATAGCCCACTAATGATCCGAAAATCGGCGGATTTTATTTTCGGCCGAAAAATCGGCCGATTTTCGACCCATCTATAGCCTGCAATAGTGTATGTATTTCCTATGCTCCTCATTTCCATCTAATGGCTATAATGCAGTAGTTTGGAGCTGATGGTCATAGGAGAGAATCATTTGAGTTTATCCTTGAAGCCCTAAAGAAGGAGGAGTGGTGTCGCCCCTGAAACACAGTCCCTTTTTTGTTTTTCTTTACCAACAATCAAATGATCTGCAACTCTTTTATCTAGTTTTGGTCTGGCACTCCTTTCTGAATGTCTATGGTTTGAGCTACTGTTAGGTGCCCATCAAGGGAATCCTTGCTGGGTGGCAGCAGCTTCTTTGGAGCTAATGAGCTTGGTTGAGTGTTCCTTCATCTGGCTAGACTTGCAAGTCTAGAAGGTCCTAGCGCCTCTTTTACTATGTTGTTCATGAAGATCTATGTTTCCCATTCTCACGCTGGATCTGAAGAGTTCTTTGAAGCCTTCAACAAAGCTGCTGGAAGCTTGCTGAAAGTTCCTAAAATGCTTTGCAAAAGCTGTAGAGACATCTCATGTACAAGCTGAAGCCCATGTGAGTAAAACCTTAGACACCTTGCTCTAACTGATTTGCCTGCCCACTCTAATGCAGGAATGAAATGTACGTCATTCATGGATGTGGATGTGATGCACTTTTGCAATGTATATATTTTAAAGACCAAGAGGATTAAGATCTCAGAGCAGGGGTGGGCAATTCATTTTCTAAAGGAGCCACATGAGGAACTTGGATTCTGTGGGGGATTGAACCAATAGGGAGGGGTGTTTATATATTTCCTCCACTGTTAAAGATGCCTCTGGCGTGTGATGTCACTTTCACAACAAGGCAGAAATTAAGGCCGACTAGTGGGAGCTCCTCACCCTTACCTGCGGGATGGAGAGCGGGCAAAACCTCCCCACATGCCCTCACTAGCATCATTTCCTTGTTGCTCACCTCCCATAGTCCAGCCGAGGAGCTCGAGAGGCACCACTTTCCCTCCTACATGGCTGAAACCCCTTGTAAAGGATGGAAGTGTTATCACCGCCATCTTGGCAACTGGTGGACAAACAGTTGTGGAAGCACAGCCACTGCCATCTTGTTGGGTGTCCTGCCTAGGTGCCCATTTTTCTCCCCCTGAGCCATGCAGCAGTGTCACACACCTTGGAGGGCAGAAGTTCGGCTACCTCCATCTCTTGTAGACACCTGTTTCCCAACACATTACTGTAAAGGTGCGCAGGCACGCAAACACATACGTAAACTGGGGGAAAAATAGCAGTTGCCTTCAACATATACTTATTTACATTTACTTTCTAATTTCTGATTGACCTAAAATAAGCCGTACAGGAACAGCCAAAGGCTGGATGAGGCCCAGCGGCAGTAAAATGCCCAGGTCTGCCCAACAACCTATGTTTGGTTCCTTTTTTTTAAAATCAGCACAAGGGACAGTACGTACATTCAATGAGGAGTGTCCATTGTGCTGGTGCCTGCTGTCTAGTTGAAATCTTTAGTTCTTTGCCCCCTCCCCCACACCCCCTGCAGCAATAATCTTCCTGTGGGGTCTTGTGGGGGTTAATACAACTGCCGGACCTGTCATAGACAATCCTTACGAGTGCAAACTATGCCCACCCTTTCTGCCCCCCCCCCTCCTCCATTTATAGAACTTGTACTACAGCTTCCATGGATAAATAGCATTCTATGAATGGAGCACGGGACTTATGAATGAAAGGTCTGCCTCCTCCATTCATACAGCACTTTTCATTGATGGAAGCTATAGTACATATAGGGCATACCTTGGGAATAATTGTCCTTGGCCTAGGCCTCTCCAGAAGTTAAACCCTTCCTGCCTATCCCAGCATCCCTTTAAAAAAGTTCTGACCGCCCAAGGGGTAGGAAGGATCGGTGATCATGTGACCATTATGAATGCAAATCTTAAAGTGTTACTAAACCCAGGAGCTTGCATTCACTATATCTGCTCTCCCCGGACCCTGCATTCACTATATCTGGTCTCCCCGGACCCTGCATTCACTATATCTGCTCTCCCCGGACCCTGCATTCACTATATTCGGTCTCCCAGGACCCTGCATTCACTATATCCGCTCTCCCCGGACCCTGCATTCACTATATCTGCTCTCCCCGGAACCCGCATTCACTATATCCAGTCTCCCCGGACCCTGCATTCACTAAATCCGCTCTCCCCGGACCCCGCATTCACTATGTCCGCTCTCCCCGTACCCCGCATTCACTATATCTGCTCTCCCTGGACCCTGCATTCACTATATCTGGTCTCCCCGGACCCTGCATTCACTATATCTGCTCTCCCCGGAACCCTCATTCACTATATCCAGTCTCCCCGGACCCTGCATTCACTATATCCGCTCTCCCCGGACCCTGCATTCACTATATCCGCTCTCCCGGACTCCGCATTCACTATATCCGCTTTCCCTGGACCCTGCATTCACTATATCCGCTCTCCCTGGACCCTGCATTCACTATATCCGGTCTCCCCGGACCCTGCATTCACTACATCCGCTCTCCCCGGACCCTGCATTCACTATATCTGCTCTCCCCGGACCCTGCATTCACTACATCCGCTCTCCCCGGACCCCACATTCACTATATCCGGTCTCCCCGGACCCTGCATTCACTATATCTGGTCTCCCCGGACCCCGCATTCACTATATCTTGTCTCCCCGGTCCCCGCATTCACTATATCCACTCTCCCCGGACCCTGCATTCACTATATCCGCTCTCCCCGGACCCTGCATTCACTATATCTTGTCTCCCCGGACCCCGCATTCACTATATCCACTCTCCCCGGACCCTGCATTCACTATATCCACTCTCCCCGGACCCTGCATTCACTATATCCACTCTCCCCGGACCCTGCATTCACTATATCCACTCTCCCCGGACCCTGCATTCACTATATCCGCTCTCCCCGGACGCTGCATTCACTATATCTGGTCTCCCCGGACCCTGCATTCACTATATCCGCTCTCCCCGGACCCTGCATTCACTATATCCGCTCTCCCTGGACCCTGCATTCACTATATCCGCTCTCCCCGGACCCTGCATTCACTATATCTGCTCTCCCTGGATCCCGCATTCACTATATCTGCTCTCCCCGGACCCTGCATTCACTATATCTGCTCTCCCCGGACCCTGCATTCACTATATCCGGTCTCCCACAGTACACAGAACATGGAAATGCAATTATTTTAGTAAATATAAACTGCTAAATACCTTTTCTCATCAGCAGTATAGAGCACTCTTGTGACTTCTATCAGAGTCCACTGGTTAAAGCTTGTAGGAGTTTTCATTCTGCTCTAGGAGGATGCAGAACCCCTGATCTCTGTCTGGATAGTGCTGATTGACCCTGTGCTAATCACATGCACTCTCCCAAGAGAAAAAAAAAAAAAAACCTCTTTAGAAATACACACCGAACTGAGCATGTGCAGAGTACTCCCCTCAGACGACGTGAGGGTGAATGAAACGCATAAGGAGGAGCCAGCATCGCTGTGACATCACGCCGCCGGAGCAACGTGGAGCTCCGGCGGCCATCTTTAACTCTGGACGGTTAGTCCACACTGTTTTTACCTGCTCTGCTTATCGTTTTACTTGGATACCTGTCACTTCTTGCAATAAATTCTCCATACAATTACTACACTATGGGTATGTCTCTGCCTTGACTCCCTTGTGGAGTATTAATTTATAGCTATCCACCACCTAACCTCCAGAGAGGGAGCCTCAACTACGCCCAGTGAGCTGCACCCATCCATCCCTTAAAGGGAACTCTGGATAATCCTGGTTCACCACCCCTAAGCCCAAGGATCCATCCACTTTAGAGGAGGTTTATTGGATTCCTACCCTATGATGCCCATTAGATGACATCAGGATTTATTACAAAAAAACGCGCATTATTTTGCGCGTTCTGGTGAGTGCGCATTTCTTATACACCTGTATGCACATTCACCGCTTTCTGGAAGTCGCGGGATTATTGAGAAACATTTCAGTTCTGGATATTATAGATAAGGAAATGTATCAAAAATAAAACACTATCGAAAAAGGAGATCGGGACCTTTCCGTGAGCACCGAATGTGTGTGCTGGGAGCGTGCAGGGAGCGCTTTCAGCACATATATTTTCTCTAATAGAACGCAAAAGTGGCCCAGACGCCAGGAGGCCACACAATTGCATTCATCCAGCGCCAAAAAGGTTAACCACTTCCAGTCCGGACACTTTCACCCCCTTCCGGACCAGGGCAATTTTCAGCTTTCAGCGCTATCACACTTTGAATGACAATTGCGCGGTCATGCAACACTGTACCCAAATGAATTTTTTTACCATTTTTTTGAGACAGATAAAGCTTTATTTTGGTGGTATTTATTCACCGCTGGGATTTTTATTTTTTTTTGCTATGTAAATGAAATGTCCAAAAATTTGAAAAAAAAAGTGTTTTTTTTAATAAAATTTTGCAAATAAATAAATAATATTTCATCATAAATCTTTGCCAAAATTTATTCCGTTATCTTTTTAGTAAAAAAAAAAATCCAAATTAGTTTATAACCAAAAATTATAATTTTTAAACATTTCTTTTACATTTTTATATTATTATTTTTTATTTATTTATTTTTTTTTTACATACTGTCACCCTAGCAGTAGTGTCACCATGGTGACACTGTACTACTTGTGGGGGGTGATGAAGATTTTTTTTTTTTTTTTTTTACACATTGCTTTTACACCCATATAGGATGTAAAAGCAATCATTTCTCTTTCTCTCTGTCTGCATTCTTGCACTCATTGAGAAGTACTGAGTAAGCTGTGATTGGTAACAGCTTGTCACATGGTACAAGCCTGTTGTGAATAGCTCTGTACCATGTGACCTCTGTGATCATTCACAGATTTCACACGTAGTAAGCAATGATGTCACAAGTGACATCTTGCTTACTACTTTGCATGTGATCACTGATTGGCCAATCAGTGATCACATGATCGGGACCTCGTACAGAGGTCCCGTCCGACGATCGGTGTTTCACTGTGTCCGGAGGACACAGCGGGCACCGGATCGCGGTGCTGCGCACTCCGAGGGAGTGCGCACAAGCAGGGTGCGGGGAGGCCGTTTATAAATGGCCACCCGACCCTGCACTGCCACCGTCCGGCCGTTTATATGCAACGGCCGGTCGGGAAGTGGTTAAAGAAGATTTACTTACCTGATCCTCCGTTCTTCCACCCTGCTTGACTGGTCCCTGCAGCTTCTTCTCCCCTATGCTCCAATAGTCTAAGGTCCTGATGTCATCAAGATTGATGCAGGGACCATATTCCTGCATTTGACATGATGGCACTGATGGGCAGTCCATTGCCCAAGGGTGGAGGAGTAGACAAAAACAAGCAATTAACCCATGCAGTGTGGGTGCAATCCTACTGCAAGGGGTAATTTTCAACTTTCCTGGAGTTGGGCTTTATAGAATAATTCCCCTTTTGTTGAGAATAAAACATTCCCCTCTGGGTGATCTATGTACATTGCAGGGATTTGAACAAACTTTGTTGCAGATTCCTACCTGTTTCTGGTCTGAAGAAAAAGCTGTTTGTTTTTTTATTCAGTAAGAAGAGCAAATCTGAATGGGGGTGACATTATTAATCAGCTAATGCACTTGCAGTGTTCTAATCAAGAAAGTTGCAGGGTCAGCATCCCTTTGGAAGTAATTAACCCTTTGGGGGTGTCTCAACAAAAATGACATACCTGAAATCTGACTTGTATCTTTGTACAGACCAGGGGCGGACTGACAACTCATGGGGCCCCGGGCAATAAGGGATCATGGGGCCCCTGTGTCCTTGCCCACACTCAAAAAATGGGGGGGCCTCAAGACAGTCCGTAATTTTAAAGGGTGCCTCGGGACCAGGGGCGGACTGACAACTCATGGGGCCCCCAGGCAATAGGAAATCATGGGGACGCTGTGTCCTCTCCCACACTCAAACCACACCCAAAAAAGCCTATGAAAGGTACCAGGGGCATCTCATGGGGTTCCCTACTGACCCCAGGCCCTCTGTCAGTGCCCGAGTGACTAAATGGCCAGTCCGCCCCTGGGAATAGGAATATAATATACATTGGGGTTGATTTACTAAAGGCAAATAGACTTTGCACTTTGCAAGTGCAGTTGCTCCAGAGCTTAGTAAATGAGCAGAAGCTCTGCTGACTTCCATCATCCAATCACGTGCAAGCAAAAATGTTGTTTTTTTTTATTTTCCTTGCCTGTGATTGGGTATTCTTGCCAAAGGGAAGCTTCACCTCATTTACTGAGCTCTGGAGCAGCTGCACTTGCAAAGTGCACAGTCTATTTGCCTTTAGTAAATCCACCCATAGTGTGTGTGTACTTTGCTGTGAGAATTCTGGGTTTTCTGATAACCGAAAGAGTCCCATTGCAGCCAGTCAGAATTTCATTTCCCAACCTGAATGAAAGAATTAACAAAAATCGAAGCTGATTGGCCGCTATGGGCATCTCATGGGGCCCCCTACTGACCCCGGGCCCTCGGGCAGTGCCCGAGTGCTCGAATGGTCAGTCCGCCCCTGGTACAGACTTCGGGGAAAATCAGTGAGCCAATCACACATGCAGGAAATGACATTTCTGGGGAAGTTCTGTACCCCAACTGTGTACAAGGGGCCTCCAGGTTGCCATATTGGTTTGAATTTTACAGAAAATTTCAGCACTGCAGATTGAAAAAGGTCATTTTAAATAGAATTCAATTACAATATGGCTTGTATAGTAATTGTATATGATATATTATTTTTTTATTTGCTTTTTATTTCCTCATGAACATGCAGTTACTCTTTAAATACTGGATACAAAAGAGAAGAGCTGTCTCTCACTCAATATATTGTGTTTTATTTCACAAAAGTAATTCAATTAAAACCCCCCTTCAATGGGGAACATAACTTCTTTCACAGTAGAAAAATCTTTGTATATTTAATATTTTTTAAATAACAGAATAACTTCATATAGAGGTCACATTGCCCATCACTTGATGTTTATAAATTACCAAAACACTCCACTATACAGTATATTCATATATCGTCTAGTGTCATTATGGCCCCACCCTTCAATGTGATAACACTCAAGGTAGTGCTTCCTTATGTAATTGAGCTTAAATATAGGCTTTGGGCTGGTTGGGTATCCAACAGCAGCCAATTATTTCCCTACTGTTGGTATCCATCCACAAGCCCAAAGGGATTCACATTGCACGATGGGCATCCTTACCTTCCAGATTATATTTAACTTGGTCCAAATCCTACATCCAATTATCTTTGTATGAGTCCCAGAGATACGACCAAATCTCTGAATGTGCCCAAAGAGAGCATCAGACTTCCCAATGGTTTCATGAAAGTTCCAATCCATAGGCGTGCTCAAGAGTTGCTCCACAGGCTTTGGCTTTGGTTGGGTATCCAACAACAGGCAACCATTTTACTATTGTTGGAATCCACAAGTGCAAAGTGTTTCACATTGCACCATGGGCATCCTTGCCTTCCAGATTATATTTGACCTGGTCCAAATCTTACATCTGTTTATCTTTGTATGAATCCCGGAGATACAACCAAATCTCTAAATGTGCCCAAAGAGAGCATCAAACTTCTCAATGGTTTAATGGAAGTTCCAATC